TTAAAAAAATACGCGGTTGTAGAACTGTATAATTTGTACCTGTATTCACAAACTTTGAGCGATACGGAACATACAAACATACTTGGTTTAACAATCCTTTTTTTGGACTATCTGAAACTACGCTTTTGTGGACTATCTGAAACTACGCTATAATATCAGTCCTCAGTTCATGAACACACAAGTATAAATTGGCACTCTGTCACAGTCAAATATAAAAAGGTAAACTGGCAGGAATCCTAGTCTTATTGACCATAAATAAAAAATAAAACAAAATGCACTCTTGATACGAATATTTTTCTGTTCTTCAGGTATCTTGTGTTAGATTTTCACCCAACCACGCCAACCCCATCATCGTTTCTGCTGGTTGGGATCGTATGGTGAAGGTGTGGAACTTGACCAATTGCCGACTGAAGATCAATCATTCTGGACACACTGGCTATTTGAACACTGTTACCGTTTCCCCAGACGGTAGTCTGTGCGCCAGTGGCGGCAAAGACTGCAAAGCCATGCTCTGGGATTTGAATGACGGCAAGCATTTACACACCTTGGATCACAATGACATCATTACTGCACTGTGCTTCTCACCTAATAGGTAAATATACATTTTTATAAATATTTCATATTAATGAAGAGATACAGTGAAAGTACTCTACGTGATGCAAAACTTTTTAACCCCTTGAAAAATTTATGAGAGGTTAGCGGATATGGGACTGATTCTTTCATTTGATATATTGAATTTGTTTGAATGTGTTTGTCCGTTGCTTGACATTTGGAATGTTTCTTCCAGGTACTGGCTTTGTGCAGCTTTCGGCCCCTCCATCAGGATATGGGATTTGGAAAGCAAGGAAATGGTTGAGGAACTCAGGCCGGAAGTTGTTTCGCAGAACAGTAAGGCTGAACCTCCTCAGTGTTTGTCTTTGGCATGGTCGACAGATGGACAAACTTTGTTTGCAGGTTACTCTGATAATACCATCAGAGTATGGCAAGTTAGTGTGTCTGCACACTGATTTGTTTTCACTTTTGACATTGTAAATAAAAATATTTGTGAATAAAGTGTCCGAAGAAATTGAGTTGATTGAGTTTGTATTAGCCACGAAGTTTTGAAGTTTGATGGTTTGGTTACATTATACGAAACTAGTTTTGATGAAATTATCGAAGTGTTTAGGGATATTAGGAATAAAAAATCATCTGGATAGGATGACATCTCCATGAATGTATTTCAGAATCTTCCAAGAGTAGCACTTGAAACTCTTGTCGCATTAATTAATCTTTCGTTTCGCAACGGTAAATTTTCTTCATTCTTGAAAAAGTCTGTGATATTCCCTTGCACAAAGGCGGAAACTTAGATGATCCCTCTATCGTTCAATATCACTTGTACCGACCCTAGCAAAAATAATTGAAAAACTAGTGAAAAAAAGGCTCGAATTCCTTATTGCTCATAAAATCATCAAAGAAAATCAATTCGAATTTCAGGCTAAAAAGAACACCCAAGATGCAATTTTTTCCTTCCTGTATGAGGTATATTCAGATATAAATGCCGGAGATGTAGCTGCAGCAGTATTTTGTGACCTAAAAAAGGATTTTGACTGAGAAGACCACAAAATACTTTTGCGGAAACTACATTGCTACGGCTGTGAGGGAGTTACTTTGGATTGGTTCAAATTCTACCTAATTGGGCGCAGTCAAGTTGTAAAAAGTGATATAACTTCAAAATATATTAATATAGATTATGGAGTGCCACAAGGATCGGTGTTGGGACCCAACACCGCAGTAAAGTTGTAAAAAGTGATATAACTTCAAAATATATTAATATAGATTATGGAGTGCCACAAGGATCGGTTTTGGGACCCAACACCGCAGTAAAGTTGTAAAAAGTGATATAACTTCAAAATATATTAATATAGATTATGGAGTGCCACAAGGATCGGTGTTGGGACCCAACACCGCAGTAAAGTTGTAAAAAGTGATATAACTTCAAAATATATTAATATAGATTATGGAGTGCCACAAGGATCGGTGTTGAGACCCACTCTTTTTTTGTATATATCAATGATTTACTGTGTATAAATACTTCTGGAAAAATTACCTTATTTGCTGACGACACCACCATTTTATGGCATAGTAAAACTGTTGAAGATTTGAATAATAAGATAAGCAGAGATATTAATGTAATCAAGTCTTGGTGCGACTCGAATCTTCTCTCTTTTAATATAAAAAGAAACAAATATATTAACTTTCAAATGTACTTTAGAAGATATGCCTCTAGAAAATGAGAAGATTGAAAATAAAGANACAAAGTCCGAGAAGGGATGAAATTATTTTTGAAGATTAAACAGACAAATGAAAATATAAATAATAAGTCTTCGAAAATTCCCCACTAACCCTCAAAGATTAGTTTTCAGTTTTCCCTCTCTCTTTGACGGCATTATAAAGTGAATCTTGTATATATCATCCATAAATGTATTAATCTGTAATCCAAGATATCAGAATTATGCTAAAAATTTCAGTTTTTATTTGTCTCACCTTTTCCTACAATCTGATTTGCTTGTTTATATCACATCTATGAATTATTTGCAAAATTTTTCTGAAAAATATATCAAGGAACATCCATCCACTATTAACCAAGATATTAGCAGTAATAGGTATACGTCTGAAAGTTCAGTTTTTATTTTTCCACGCTCTCTTAAGGCGATACAAATTGATTTGACCATTCATATATTCTATATGTCATTTATAAATCATTTTGATAAAGAATGTATTAACAACCATCCACTATTAACCAAGATAGCTCATTTTTATTTATTATTTCCATTCAGCCCAACGCAACGACAGTACAAATGATATAGTAGCATTGAGAGACTAGGTCTTTTTCTAATTCTTTTTTGTGGAGGAGTCAAT